GCCGACTAACGTCTCAGTAACTGAACCTATTGGAAAGGATCTTGGGGTCTGGCTTGATCAATTTGACCAAGTCAACCCTTTGACCAAAGGTCTGGGCAAAATCGAGGTCAACATATATCTGGCACAATTATTTTTTGTTGTATCCTGGCTGAATGGTCACGGGCAGTATATTGCTAAAGAAGGCTGAAATATGCTGACTACCTTTCTTCAAGATACAACCTTGCAAGGTTTAAAATTGCCTAGTTAGGTATTGAAGCATTTTTCACTTGTGAGGCGGTGCATAAGTCTTATGACGTTTTGAGGCGTAAGCCTTAAAATTCAAAAATTGCGTAAAGTGAAAATAAATATTAAAAGTAGTTTTTTGTATAATACCTAAATAATATGTTAAATAATTACATATTAACTTTCTACTGAACAATGAAGTGGCAAATTGGCATGCATATGAAATTAAAAATTGCAAAAAACATAGTGGTAGGTGATAAATTGCATGAAATAGAATTGAAATCCAATATTACAAAAGCAAAATAACATGAAATATAGGAATTACGTAGAAATTCCTTCTTTCTTAGTTCCCTACTCATCCACATTTAATTCTTAAAAAAAGCTAACATAATTAGCAACAGCTCATAAATCGTCTATATTGTTATCACTGAGGTCTTTATTTGAGTTTGACTCATAAATCATCGAATCACATTAACATAAAGATGAGAATAATACTTCAAAATTTTTAGAGGAGGTGGTGGTGTGTGTGGTTCAAGTGATTCCCAGTGGTGGCTACAACAAAGGCGATGGGATGGAGGTCAAGGTGGTTGAGAGGAAGTTGATGTGGCTTGGGATGCATAAAAGCATGATTTGTTTGGAGCCTTAGTTTAGTATTTATGAAAGTAATTTATTAAAGAAGGTGCAATGACTAATATATAGGTCTAAAGTCATTCCAATTACTAGCCGAGTTATTTTTGGGAATAAGCACAATCGAAGTAGAAGTAACGAACTTAGGGATAGAATTACCAACAAAAAAATTCATAACTATAGAATAAATATCATTACTAATAATATGCTAGGCTTTCTAAGAAAAACTTAGTGGTGAAACCATTCGGCCCAGCCACAGAGGCATCATTCATACCATGAATAGTTTCTTTAACTTCCTCTAAGGAAGGGGGTTTAGAAAGAAAATCATTATCATCTTGAGATATGAGCCTAGGGATAATAGAAGGGGTGTAAATATGATCAGGACTAAAATCCTTATTGAGATATTTTTGAAAATACTAAACAGCTAAATTAGCAATTTCTAAAGCATCCTTGGTTGTAGAGCCATCATCAAGATTAATTTTATTAATACAATTTTTGGCACGCTTCCTCTTAACCAAAGTATTAAAATGTTTGATATTATTATCATCTTCCATAAGGTGTTTCTTTGTTTCCAAAAGCTTCCTCCTGAGCTTGTAATTTAAACAGACAATCTTTAGCATCCCTCAACAAACTGAAGTTATCAACAGAAGGCATCAATTGATAATTTATCTCAAGAGTGTTCACTTTATCTTCAGCATTCAAAATATTGGTGAAAAGATTACAAAAAACATTATAATTTCACTAATTTAAAATTTGCTTAAGCCTTTTTAGTTTAAACCAAAGTCTCATCATGCCAAAGATAGAATTATCTGATGTAAAGGGGCATGCCAATTTTCTTATACCAAGTCCATAAAAAAGTCATGAAGCAACCACATATTTTGAAATCTAAATTGCGGGGAAGAATTAATAAGCCTAGTTTTGAGGCTAATTAACAAGGGAGAATGGTCAGAAAGAGTTTTGCTAAGATGCTCAACAGTAATAGAATTAAAAGAGTTAATCCAACAATCATTAAACAACACCCGATCCAGCTGTTGCCAAAAAAGACCACGATTCCAAGTGAATTTATTTCCAAAAAAGCCAATGTCAACAAAATTACATTCCATAATCACATTATTAAAATCATCCATCAAATGATAGATAGGAAAAGCACCCCTATATGTTCAGAAGGATTAGAAATAGTGTTGAAATCATTATCTATGAGCTAGGGTAAGTTATAAATGCCATGAAAGTTGATGAGTTACTCCTATAATACTTTCCTAGTATAACGAGAAGAAGCAACATAAACAAAAGACGCACAATAATGAAAATTTAAAACATCAACATTACAATGCAACACTTGACTAAAATCTCTAATAATATATATCCGAACAGGATCCTTTCATAACACCCAAATCTTATTGGCAACATTAGAAACAACATACTTAAAACCCATAATTCTAGTAGTACCAAGTAATTTATCAGAGGTTATAATATGTTCAAGTAAAATAAGAATATAAACATTATAAATGCGACATAAGTTCTTAACTCTTAACCAAGAGGAGGGACACCCAATGCCCCTAACATCCCAAATAATAGAATTAAACATAAAAATATAATTAATGAGAAGTATGCGACTAGGTAGTTCTAGGAAATTGTAAAATGATATTCTTATTTTTCCTACCTCTCCTACTTTAAAACTTGATATAACTAGTGTCATTATCATCTTTAGAAAAACATTTAGCCATAATATTCATATCTTCCGTATAAGTAAAAGCATCACTATGATAATGAGAGTTTAAGGGAAGCTTACTATTATTGATCAAACTTGCATGCATCACCTCCTGAGGCAATTCACCCTCCTCAAAGATCGAGCCATCATCCACATTAGTTTTACTACTCAAGTCACTACCAACATTACCTTCCACGATATAGATTTGGCCATCCTCCTGATCATTAACAATAGATTGAGTAGGCAGATTGTCAGAACAACTATTATTTAGTATCATAAAATCCATATCAGGCAAGTTTTTGTTAAGAGTACAAGGACTAATAATAAAAGATGAAGCAATATTTTGATTAGTAGTAATAACCAACATTTGCCCATCCACATTTTGATAAACATTAGATAAACAAAAAGTCGGGTTAAGATTTTCTCCCTAAGCACAAATAGGGTCATCGACTTGGGTGGAAGGTGGTTCAGTATGAACTATGACAAGTTGTATTGATTCCTCAATATTATCCTGCACTTTAGGAACATTACCCTCATTCACATCAATATTAGGAATCACAATATCATGATCAACCAAAGGGACAATATTTCCATGCGATTGTTTAGAGGCTTCCTTCTCCTTTCGGAGATGGGGATGTAACCTGTAACACTCAGTTAACCCATGACCATGCATCTTACAATGAGAACAAAAAATGGGTAAATTTTCAATGTCAACTTTTTAGAAATAACTATTCAACTCCGAACAAATCCAAATCTCACTAGGATGTTTCTTAGAAATGTCCAACTCAACTAAAACATGAGCCACACACGGACGAGCGATAGAGGCCGTAGCTAGGTCCGTCTGCAAAGGCCTACCAAAAATCGACTCCAATCCAAATAAAATTTGAGAATTAAAAAAATGAAGTCTCAGATTCGGGAAGGAGATCCACACAAGGGCAATAGGGGTTCCTCACGCACATCAAAATCTGGTGTATATTTGAGCAATTTCATTTGACACGCTTAAATATAGTAAAATCTCTTTGAAAAAATTCGACTATAATTCAAATTATTACTCAATTGAATCGCAATATGGCACGGATCCAACAAGCCAATATGAAAGGAACTAAAAAGCTTCATGTTAACCAAAAAAAGAAAAAAAAGAAAAAAAAATTGCCTATAACATTTACATAAGATTAGGACGGCAAAGAAGAAACTTGCATTCAGTTATCTTCTTCGAATTCTCCAAGCGCCGGCTTAGGTATAGTAGTCGCCAAGAGGCAGAGAAGCCCAGTTCTTATTACTTGCCCGATCTCTAGATCTCCGCACCGGGTTCATGGCGAACGCATTCGAGGCTGAACAGCCGTCAGCCCTTGATGACGCTCCGGACGTGGGATCCATAACCCTCGCTGCATCTTCTTCGAACTCGCAGGCCGAAGCCTCATTGTATGTCGTCTGACTCTCAAACCCTTGAATATTGCATTAAAACATTTCCTTATCTAGGTATTCAGCGTTCTATGCTGTCTTTTACGGTTCTTCGGTCTTTAGGCGCGTTACTGGGTGTTTCTCAGGTTATCCCTGGAAGAGAGGTTTGCCTTGGTTAGGAGCGTTGGGGAGGAGTGTATTCAGGAGGATGAGCTCCGGATTTTGCTCGAAAAGAAGCAAAATCCCATCTGCTATGATGGTTTTGAGCCGTCTGGGAGAATGCATATTGCACAGGTCTGTGATTTGTCTTATACATACTTTTATTCCTCGTGGAAGGATTTGTTTTGAATGCGTTTTAAACACGATTAACTGAAAATTTAAGAATTTGGTAAGACCACCTTATGGACCATAGTTCAAATTCAACATGCAGACATGATTATACTAATTTTTAGAAAATCCAAAAACCTGATTATCCAGATTTTTTAGGTTTAGATCCTTTGTATTGATTCCACATTCCATTGATAATCAAGTGTTTTTCAACTGGTAATTAGCCAAGATATTGGAATGGCATGCAAAATGTAGAGAATTATCATTTCATAGTTCTTTTTTATGGTTATCTTGGTCTAGACTAGAACTTTTGTGTAGGACTAAGTATGCTTTGATGCTCTAAATTCTATTTAAAATATTTTTAATCTCTAAATAAACAAGGGGAATATGTGGCTCACAGCTGTGCCTGACGGTCTAATTTAAACTTATTTTCCATGAATAGGGCGTTATGAAGACTATAAATGTGAATAAGCTGACATCAGCTGGGTGCACTGTTAAGATATGGATAGCAGACTGGTTTGCTCAGCTGAACAATAAAATGGGCGGTGATCTGAAGAAAATACGCAAGATTGGAGAATATCTTATTGAGATATGGAAAGCTGCAGGGATGAAAACTGAAAGGGTTGAATTTTTGTGGTCTTCTAATGAAATAAACAGTAGAGCAGATGAATATTGGCCTCTTGTAATGGATATAGCTCGAAAGAATACACTGCCAAGGATAGTACGGTATAAGTCTTTCCCTCCCATTTTTCTTATGCACTTCAGAGGAATGCATTAAGTTGTCAACGATCACTGATCGTATATTTAATGAAGTAGTAGTCTTGATATTTTATCTTTCATTTTCATACAGTTGTTGTCAGATAATGGGCCGAAATGAACAAGATGAGCTGACGGCAGCCCAAATATTTTATCCATGTATGCAATGCGCAGACATTTTCTTCTTAAAGGTGTTCCCTTGTAGTTTATCTACTTATTTAATAATCTCACTTATTTTTCGGAATCTTATATTTCCTTGTATTTTATATTATCTCACAGTGCAATGGTTGGTTACTTGTTTTTATCATTCAGCAAATTTCCCCTTATTTTGTAGGCTGACATTTGCCAACTGGGTATGGATCAGAGAAAAGTGAATGTGCTTGCAAGAGAATATTGTGATGACATTAAAAGAAAGAACAAGCCCATCATTTTGTCACACCGTATCCGAGATGCTAAAGAATATTTTCTCAATGCCATATGTTTATTATAATTGAGCTATTGCTTCACATTACTACAATTGAAATATAGATATGCTTCCCGGGCTGCAGCAGGGGCAGGAAAAAATGTCAAAGAGTGATCCTTCTTCTTCAATTTATATGGAAGATGAAGAGGTATGATTGGATGACTCGAATGGCATTATTTGTTATCTGATTTAAGTTTCATGCTGACTTTTTGAAGTGTTCTTGTGGACAGTTTTTTTGTCCTTATGATAATTTAGGAAAATTTTCATTGATGACCTCTCCTTGGTTATTTAAATGTAATTCTAGGTTTAGGCACGGAGATGCATATGCTGCTATCAAGAGGTTAATGTACTTGTGGGATCACCTTTTTATTGGTTAATTATCCTTTTTTTCTAACAAATAAGAAACCTTTAAGGTTTTGTTTTATTTTTTTGGAAAACAAGATTCAATAACATTCATCAAATATTTTGATGAGTATTTTTAGTTGATTTAAAAAAATTTCTACATCAAAGATGAACAATTAATACATCAGATATTCAGATTTCAAGAGTACACACATAGAATTATTTTAGATTTTTTTTTTAGTTGTGAAAACAAGTACACAACATATATGACACTGGCAAACTTTGAACATTGTTTGGACTTGAATTTCTCATCCTAGATAGGTTGTGGCAAATGGTGGACTAATGGCCACTCTGAGCATAGAATGGTTGGTGATTACCTGGGGATTTTCTTTATTTATTTATTTATTTATTTATTTATTTTTTATTTTTTATATTTGTATGGGCTAGATTTTGGTATGGCGAAGACTCGATGTAGGAGACAGAATGTTCTTCTGATAGAATTTACTTCGATTGCACTTATTACCAGGAGCCAAGTTGTTGATGTTATATGTCGAGGGGGTTTTAAGCTAGGGTGCTTGAATTCGATTATTAAACTCTCTATTGAGGGTGATCTTTGATTATACCCACTTGTTATGGTTGAAGGCAGTAGAGTTGTGGCAAGGGACTTCGGATTGATGGCCATAAATTTCCATTTGAGATATGAGTAGTGATTTATGCATAAGAAAGATGCAGTGATCACAATAGTTATCCTTCTAGTTGAAATAAAGCTCTAACTACTTTCATCATTAGGAGATTAAGTTTTGAATATTTGTCACTTTATTTTGAGGGCATTTGATTGTTGGACATATTTTTGATGTAGACATTTTCATTGCTGAGAGCGACATAGGTAATGATAGAAGTTCTTTCGGTGTTAAATAGGGCTGTCAATTTGGGTTCTTGTTTGAGTTGGAGTTTGACCAAAAAAATGACTATACATGAATTTAATCAATTTGAAACCAAATTGTTTACTAAATAGGTAAAAAAGCTCACCTAAATTTGATTTGTTGATATTGAACCTGACTTGCATGACGAGTTAGTGTCAACCCAATTTGAAATGGACACAATTGCTTGATTTGAACATGTTAACTAAAAAAAAGTATATATCTATATAAAACTTTATTTAAGATTTTCAAGAAAAAATGTAATAATAAGAACAAAATTTCTATGCTAGTTTTTTTGGTTGACCCGAATTGACCCACACGACCTAAAGCCAACCTAATTTTTTTTAGTTACTTAAGCTGACGTGAAACTGACCCTAATCTGATTTATATGACTTTACTTGAATATGAAAATTGGCAACAAGTTTGATTTAGATTTTTAGAGTTTAATATTGATTCCTTTTATCCTTACTAGCCTTGAGGATTTTGCTTTAAACCTTAACAAGGGCATCTTCTTCATAGCTGTGTGTTGGTCCATCATTCGGAAGGCTAGATGCATGTACCTGATGCATCTTGGAAGTAAAAATAGCAAAGTAGACAAGTAAAAACTATAGGAACACAAAGATAGCGGGTGATTTTATTATATCTTTAACAAGAAAGAAATATACAAGTGATTTACTGTTTGAGAGGTAGATCAACTCTCCCACAAACTCTAGCAACTGCTAGAAACCCCAAAAGAATCCTATAATAAATTCAACAAATAAAAAGATACTAACCCTAGACCAAACTCATTAAATATCCCTAATCATACAATAATGTCAATTAAACCCTACCTAAACAAGTCAAGATATTCCAAAACATCTCTCTCTTGATTTTTCCTCATCACATAATGAATTATAACTTTGTGGGCCCCACAAGGGGGGCCAAAACTTCCCTAGTTCCTGCTCTTGGTTCCGCCCAGCTCAGTGGCTGGTTCGATTACTACTAGTCATATGGTTGGGTAGGCCCAGGCCGCACCCCGCTTTTGCTACTTCTGCAATATAACACTTACCCCCTCCCCCTCCCCCCCTCGAACTCCTCTAAGTGTTGATCTACACTGAAAACTGATGTAGTGCTCTGCCCATAATGTAGCAAATTAGGTGGATCTCTCCCATAAATAATCCTAAAAGGGGTGGTTTTTGCTGTTAAATGGTACGAAGTGTTGTACCAATACTCGGCCAAATCAATCCACTTTGTCCAACACTTCAGCGTATCTTATACAAATCATCGCAAATAGATTTCCCACCTCCGTCTGGCCATATGTCTGGGAAGGGTATGCCGTGCACTGTCTCCTGTAAACGAAATAAATTCTTCCAAGAATACTTTGTCTATCTGACATTGGATTCTAAAAATCCATTTAAGCGTACCACCTCCCGTATGAAAGTAGCAGCCATTGAGACTGTAGTGTAAGGTTGCTTCAAATGGATGAAGTGTGCATACTTGCTCAGGCGGTCCACCGCTACCTGTATCACCAAAATCCCTATGAATGCGACAACCGCTCGATGAAATCCATCGTCACTTCCTCCCATTCCCTCTTTGGTAGGGCTAGATGTTGTAGTAACCCTCCTGGTGTCATGGCCAAGTACTTGTGCCCTTAGGAAAAATCACATCTCGACACCTATTCCTCTACATCTCGTTGCATCCCCATCCAATATAATTTTACGAATAGCCGACTGTAGATTTTTTGAGCTCCAGAGTGTCCTCCAATTGCACTGCCATGAAACTCTAACAAAAGCTTGGGAATGTATCCCGATGTCCTCTCTAAGATGAATTGCCCCTAATGTAGCAACTGGGGCCCTTTCATCATGTAATTGGGATGCCTGTCTGGGTCCTGCAACAACTCATCTTTGATCTTCCTCAGACCCCATTATGTTCTCTCTCCTATCTCAGGGCTTCCCAATCTAGAATCATTAGTACTGATAGAGCTATCAACTTTGGCTCGTCTTTCTTCCTCGATAGTGCATCTGCAACCTTATTCTCTAGTCCTGGGCGATACTGGATATCGAAGTCATATCTAAGTAATTTGGATAACTACATATGATGCTCCTTTTTTACCATTTTTTGCTCCAACAAAAACTTTAGACTCATATGGTCTGTACTGATGATAAAGTGTCTCCTCAACAAATAGGGTCATCGCTTTTTGATGGCCTAGATAATTGTTATTAACTCCTGCTCGATATGGACTTGAGTCTCGCCTTGGTTGTGAGCATCTGATTGAAATAAGCAATGGGCCGATGATCCTGCATAAGTACTGCCCTAGTTTGTATCCTGATGTATCTGTCTCCACCACAAATGGTCTGTTAAAGTCAAGAAGTACTATTACTGATATGCTGGTCATGATTTTCTTCAATTGTCTGAAGGCCTGTGTTGCTTCTCTCCCTAATTGAAATTGTACTTCTTTAGCTGCTCGGTCAGTGGCGATGCTATCGTGCCATCCCCCCTATATAAACTTTCGGTAGTACCCTGTGAGACCCAATAATCCTCTCAATTCATTCAGGTTTTTAGGCAAAAGGCAATCCAATATAGCTATGATCTTGGACTGGTTTGTTGTTACCTCTTCTTTGCTTACCATATGTTCCAGGTACTCCATCTATGGTTCTGTAGTGGAACTTTTTTCAAATTGACATACAATTGGTGCTACCTTAAAGTTTGCAATACAGTCCTCAGGTGACCCACATGTTCTGCCTCCATATCTCTGTAGATCAGGATGTCGTTAAAAAATACCAGTATGAATTTTTTTGAGGTAGGGTTGAAAAACACGATTCATAAGGGATTGAAAAGTAGCGGGCACGTTGGTAAGGATGAAAGGCATCATAAAAACTCGTAGTTTCCCTCGTGAGTATTGAAAGCTATCTTGTGCACATCCCCCGATTTCATTCTGATATGGTGGTACCCTAACTTTAGGTCAATCTTCTAGAAGATGATCACCCAGCTTATCCATTGCTCATCAATCATGGGGATAAGAAATTTATCCAACACAGTTTCCTTGTTTAAGGCCCGATAATCCACACAAAACCTCCAACTTTTTTTTTTTTACCAACGACACTGGCTAGAAAAGGGACTCACACTGGGCCAGATAATTCAAAACTCCAACATTTCTCTGATGAGCCTTTCTATCTCATCTTTTTGAATTTGTGGGTACCTTACAGTCAAACATTGATAGGAGAAATGCACTCCTTCAAGATAATGACGTGCTCATGCTCCCGGAGTGGCGATAATCCAGTAGGTTGTTGAAAAATATCAAGAAACTGCTGCAGAAGCTGCTGTACATACTTAGGGACCTTGTCTGGCTCTGAATCTCTAACCTCCTTTAAGCTCTACAACTCCACCAAGTAGCCCAGTTTTGCTCCTTGTATTGCCTTGACCATGGTTTTGAGTGAAACCATGGTTCTGCACTGGCTGGCATCTCCTCGTAGCACCACCCTCTTCCCTTCCACCTGAATCTCCATAGTCAAAGATTTCCAGTACACCTTTGTTTCCCTTATCTTTTACTACCATTTCATCCCTAGGATCACATTAGTAATCCTCAAATCCATAGGAAGAAAATCATCTATTATCTATATGTACTGGAGTGTCAGCACCAATCTCTTGCAAATCCCCCTACTCCTCTCCACCTTCCCTATTCCCATCATGACTCCAAAGCTCCCTGTATCCGCCAACTCCAATCCCAACTGGTTCAAGACCTAGTTTGAGATGAAGTTGTGAGTAGCCCCGCTATCCACCAATATCACTAGCCGCTCCTTGATATGTCCCCTCACCTTCATGGTGTGATTTGGAGTAAATCTCACCACTGATTTAAGGGACACTTCCGCCACATCAAGGTGTACGCGTTGTCCTCAATCTTCTGCTT